ACGCAACTACTTTCGAACTTCAAACACAAATTGATTATCGTTATTATGTGTTAGTTTCTGATGTTTCAAAGATTGAAATTATGTATGAAAAATAATATTTCACTTTATAAAACAAATGTTTTCACTAAAATATGTGATTCAAAGACAACCCAAATTGTAAAAAGCAATATCAAGATCAAAGTTCCGCGTATAAACACTGTAGTAAAGAGGCGGCGGAGCGGAAATTTTAGCCAAAATCGGCTAGTAAGGCGTCATATGACATTCGCTGGTTCCCGGCGTCCTTTGCGAATGGCAGGTAGGACGCCAATCTCCTTCCCAGAGGCCTTTGCGCTCTACGCAATAGTGCATCTGCCACAGGCAGCCTTCAATTTTGTGGTCAATCACCTCACTACGCACGGCCATTTTCCGCGGTTGTTTCATTTGAAACCGAACTACAAAAAGTGGGAAATAAACGTATGTGACATCCGAACTATTTATTAATGTCAGACTTCAGTAAAAACGTAAATACGAACCATTTTATCGCGAACTATATTTTGCAAGGTAATGTTATAGTAGTGAAATGGCGCACGTGATACACTAAAACTTGGAGGAAAAAACGTTCTGTTAACGAATATAGTTGGGAAAGAAACATTAAATACTAATTTCACTGAAAAGGGTTTCCTAACATTTCCGTTCATTTTGTATTCTGCTGAATATTTCAATACTATTTCTGGCTTGAACGGGTTCGATTTTCCGCGTCTAACTGCCATGGAACACAAAGGTTCTTGTAAATTTATAAAGTTATTTATTTATTGTACAATCTAATGTTTTCTCATATGGGAAAGGATTGTACGTTTCTAACGCAAGTCATGTATATTTTAATCTAATTAACTGAACATTGTATTCAAAGTCGGGGCGTGAAACGTCTTATTAAAGTGACTAATGTAACCAAGTGACTTACGCATAACTTTGTTAACCGACAGGGCCTTGTAGTTCGAACATATTCAAATATGCAAATGAGTTCTATGCAAAGCTGCTTTGTGCAGTGATGATAAGTAACGCGCATCGAACTGTGCGGAGTTCGAAATCGCAGGTGACTGTGCAGTCACGGTGGTGCCTAGTACTTGCGCCCTCTATCACTCGGCTAAAACCTACCTAACCTTGAAAATGTTTACTAGTAACCTCTATACACATTTGGTGAAAGCACCGTTCCCCTGTCACACTAAAGGAATTGTGGAGGAAAATAAATTACAGCGCTGAATTAAAGTGTTTCCCGTACAAACTAGACTGGTCAAGTGCGCCCTCGTACATGACTGAAAGAGAAACTACAACCAACAAACAAACAATAACATCAAAGGGCTTTCCCGGCGACTGCTGCAGGTATTCATTACATTCCAATATCTGACGTCTATTAGTGTCGATTTCCAGGAACTCCCTCGACCAGTGAATAAACCATGGGGATCTTATCGGTCTTACGCCACCCTACTGCCGATAAGCGCCTGACTTTGTTAGCGCTAATGAGCATCGGAGCAGTTATTTATTTCAATTTCGTGACGTTATTCGCCATGAGTTTAGCAACACTGGTCACCATACCACATCTATTCAAGTATACTATGCAAAAACACTACATATTCGCTGTGTTCATGTTCGTAAATACATACTGGAACTACTTGATGGCGTATTTCACCGATACAACGGCACGAAGACTCCCGAAAGACGTCTGGGAGTTCCACCAACAGCAGAAGACCAAGCCGGTGCGCTGTTACTCGTGTAAGCTGTGTGGTGACTGCATCGTGAAACGCGATCACCACTGTTTTTTCATGAACACGTGTATTGGATACTACAATCAAAAATACTTCATGTGGTATTGCCTGTATATGAGCGTTGGGACGTTCTATTCGTTAATTACAACAGCCATGTACAACAACGCCGTGTTCGGTACTCAGTTCAACGGCAGCACAACGTTTTTCACTCTGGGACCTAAAACTGTTTACTTGTGGCTTGTAGGAAGGGCGCCGCTTGGTGAAATGATTCTTGTCACGTACCTGTATGTGTGTCTGGCTGGTGGCACTGTGTGCCTCGGTTTCTTCTGTTGGCAGTTATGGATTTCCTTCATGGGCCTTACCACATTCGAAGCCATGCATGACATGCCAGGGATTAATAATGGCTTTTATAACAATATGACTGATGTTTTGGGGAAATTCTGGATTCTCGGGGCAGTGTTCCCAATATGCTTACCCCAGCATGGGAATGGTATCTATGGCGATAAATTTGGTGTTATGGATGGTGCGAATGAAGTTACCAAGAAGAATGCATTGAAAGTAAAGAAGAAAGTTGAAAACAATAAACGAAACAATAAAACTAAGAAGAACAACTGATGACGACCACAGAAAAAAAAATGATTAAACCCAGGCTGCAGTTGTGTAGAATAAACAATGCATTTTGCCTACACATCATCTACAACAAACGTGAACAAAGTAAAGTAGATCTAATTTCACTCTGACAAGATCAGCATGTGTTATTACTGTGAACTCACACGAGGATGTTACGTTCAGGTGAATCTACCGAGGTAACAGCAGCTGAACTAAGATGTGGAAAATAACAAATTCATTGCAAATGGTCGTAGTTTGAAAAGTAAATTATAATTATAAGCATAAATACAAGGGCAATTCTAATCTGTTAAAGTATAACATTTTTGCTTTTCTGTTACAAGTAACATATCTGAAAGTCTTTCAAGTTTATGTAAACATTTTTTCCCACAAATGAGAGTTTAAACTGTTTAATTTTGAAAAATGTGTACACTGCTGATGCGAAAGTATATTGTGTTTGTTTTAACTTTACTTTCACCATATTTGCTTTGTCAGAAATGGACAAACACATGTAAAAAACAATAGTGAACATTGTACGTTGAAATATTATTACCAGGGTACCATAGATATCAGTGAAATAGGTAAGCGTGTGCACTACTGATGAAGTATTAGAGGCATACGAGAGAAAATACAGGGGAATTTTGTTTTATAAATTCAGTACTCAAGAACAACTTTTGCTTGCAGAAAGCAATTTATTTATTACTTAACAGTTTCACATCAGTCACACAAAGACCACCATGAACCTATGTCATAAAAAAGGCTTGTTTCCTCAAACTTTCAAAGCAAGGGTACAAGCGAATCTGATTAAAATCCGATGTAGCTATGAGACTCCAATTTTTGTTATTTATGACCCTTTATAAAATATTTATTTGTATCGTGTACCAGTCGCCTCTAACTAGTTTGAGGCGACTGGGACAAAATTTTCTAAGAACTGATTAACGGCAAGAAAAACAAAAAAAATCGATATATTCAAACTAAAATACAAATAAATATTATATAAAGGGTCATAAAAAATAATAATAATAAAAAACAAGCAGCCTCTCGGCTGAGATAGCTCCGCTGTTTTTACCAAAAATATTCATCAAAATTAGATAATTAAAGATATCATCACAAAATGAACAAATCTGAGAGAGGTCCACATGTAGTACCTATATATGTATTATCAAAGCAATCAGACCTGCCGTTTTCACCAAGAAGTCGAAAATATCACTTTTTACCAAAAATTACAAAAATATTCACCAAAATTGGAGAATTAAAGATATCACCACAAAATGAACAAATCTGAGAGGTCCACATGTAGTACCTATATATGTAATATCAAAGCAATCAGACTTGTGGTTTTTAACAAGAAGTCAAAAATATCACTTTTTACCAAGAATTTTCATCAAAATTAGAGAATTGAAGATATCATCATGAAATGAACAAATCTAAAAGAGGCCTACCCAAGGTACATATACACCAAGTATAAAAGCATTCAGGCTTGTAGTTTTCAAGAAGTCAACAAAGTAAAACATTGACACAGACGACGAACAATCACTCATATGATAAGCTCTGCTCGAAAAAGTCGACAGCGAAGCTAAAAATGGAGCCTCATACCTACATTGGATTTTAATCAGATTGAGGTACAAGCATTAGACGTACTGTTAAAGCATTATTTATTCACTAGGTTCAAAATTAGCTGTTTTCACTAATAAGTGAAATATCAGTAAAAATTAATACTTTCACATTTTACATTTTCCGATACAATGACATGTGACAGTTTAATTCTTAATAACGTGAATTGTTTTTTATTTAGACAAGGACTATTGATTGACATTTATAGTTTTATAAAGTCCGAACAATGTGTTGTATAGGTAGTATGGGACCCATATCAAACATGACAGTGTGATGATTGTTGAAGCTTTAACAGAGTAGGTTTTTAGTCAGTGGTAACCTAACTGTAGAATAAATGATGACAAGTCTTAGAATAAAATGCATAGTAAGACTGAAGTCAGAAACTATTAGCCTCTGAATGTAACGTTATTAGGTATACATTTACTGTAAGAATTACAATATTTGCCAACTTGAAGGACAACAGTGCACTACCAATAAATTTGTTCATGCTACATTAATTTAATTTTAATAACAGATTGTAATTTTACATCAGAAATAACATTTTGTTTGTTATAAAAAAAAGTACCTGTAATGGGCAGTGTGTTAAAAAAACTTTTAAAATTTCATATGCATATTTTATACATGTATTCAAAACAAAAAGTACAGTCAAATTTTGAATTTTTATCTTGTTAAAGAGATCTTTGTGTTGTAAATTAATAATAAAAATACTTTGCATCATAACCTAGTTTGCATTTCATTTTTGGTATATACTACACACATGCTCAACCTGCAAGGGAGTAAAACTATAAGGGACTGCATTGTTTCCACCTTGTCAAGGCAGACCCTGAGGCAGACCATAGACCCATGAATAGAGATAATTTATTGCAAAGATTCATGTTTTGCAATTCTTTTGATGGTTGCCAGCAGTTTCCTATGCAAACATCTGCATAGCAACTATCTATATAGCGTGCTTTACCAATGTGACCAAGCTATACATGTGTGATAATCAGACTTTGAATATACTATCAACATCGTGCATGCATACATTTTTTTTACCATTAATAAATTGGCAAGAATCTCACAGCACAACTGGCACCATACTAAATTGTAGAGGAAAGCAAACTTGCCAAACTGGATACATTGCAAGCATTATAAATAAAATATATTTCATCTACAGAATTTAGTAAACCAAGTCACCAGCCAAATATATATATATATATATGCATACAACTGTCTTTACATAATTTTAAATAGAATGGATAACAAGTTTGGTGATCACATACAGTGGTGGCATTCAAAAAAAAAATTTGCAATATCACTAGTCGTAGAAAAATTTAGTTTCACAGCAAATTGCACTCAAAAGATGGATGGAAAATGATAATAAAAAACTGTTTCAATGTAAAAAGCTATTCTCTAATCAATATCTTCATAGTTGGGAGAGAAGGCTTTGAATCACCTGTAAGAAAGAGTGAGAGTTATCAACTACAGCAACATATAGCAGTTCAATGTGTAGTCATAGAAAATATGAATATGTACCTCTTAGTATCAAGTACGTTAACGTGTAATTGTATAATTACCTGAGCTTTGTTGCCTAGGTTACCAGGTCGTCTTGACAACTCATCAATTTTATCAGTAAGTGTAACTAGAACAATGTATATCCCTTGAACACTCCTAGTAAGAGTCAAATAAAAGAAGATTTATCTATTTTGCAATGCAGTCAGACAAGATATAAATGCAATTTGTATGCATCTTTGTATGTTTCCTTAAAAGAAACTTGCATATATTGCACACAATTTTCTACAGAAATACACAACATATATATGCAATACACACATTTATATCATGCAATGCAGATCAAACAAGTCATTGAAAATGACACAGTCCCCGTTAAATTTTTGAAAGTTCTCTTTGTGCTTGTCATATTAAAGTGGAGGGGTTGGCGCGAGCGTGTCCTTGAAACTTGAGTCCAAAGTGGCGAATACAACAGATTGCTTATTTACATCAAATTCGAACATGTGTTGCATGACGACCCCTCCGGTTTAAGACATAGCAAAGAAAAACATAGATCACAAGTGAAAGCATGTCCAAGTTATCACATTTTAAACAAACAAGATGGCCATATTTGATCAAATTGCAAATTGAATTGACATGTACATGTATCCATTTATGACATGCTAAATATCAATGAAAATGATACATTGTGACAGAGTTATAGTAATATGGTCAAAAATAAAAACAGCTGTTATTCGGCTATCTTTGATCTGATTATGAAACAAAGTGACATGCATGATGTATGTGCAAAATACGAATGAAAATGTTACATAAATCTTGGAAATATAGTAGTAAGGCCAAAAAGTCAGATGGCTGTCAATCGGCCATCCTTGATCCGATTTCGAAACAAATTGTCATGAACATGTATCCTAACATGTATAAAGTATGTGCCAAATTTGAATGAAAACTGACGAAGCATGTCCAAGATACCACATTTAAAATAACAAACCAGACGGCTGCCAGTCGGCCATTTTGAATCAAATCGCTAAACCACTGCATGTGCATATGTCCCACATAAAGTACTAGGCACATGCAAAGAATGAATGAAATTGGTCCAAAAGATTCTGAAATATGACTCCGCACGGATGCATGGATGGACGCATACACAGACAGTCAGAGGACATGTATCCTAACATGTATAATCTATGTACCAAATTTGAATGTAAACTGACAAAGCATGTCAAAAATAGAATGTACGAAATCGGTCTGATGAATTCTGAAATATGACTCCGGATGGCTGCACTGACGGACGGAGACCGAAATATAAGTCCCTGTTTTCGGACTTTGTCCGAATGGGGACTAATAAATTCAATATTTTGACAAATTGTCACTAAATAGATAATGCAGCAGAATATAACAGAATAATAAATATTCTAGAATTTCTACTTACTGGCTTCTTAGAAAATCAGACGCAACTCTTTCGGTTGATACCTTTGAGTTAAATGCTTTGAATTCCTTCCACCAGGTTTGAATGATTGTCCTTACCATGTCAAGTGCTACTTTTATATAACTGAAAGAATATATTAAAACGAAGCAATGAATTTACTAACAAGATGGTACTTATTGTATAAAAAAATAGCTCTATTAGAATTACATGTATATTAAATTATTAAAATATGACTTATTTTCATCAAATTATTGAAATATGACTTATTTTGATCAAATTAATGAAATATGACTTATTTTGATCACAGATACATAAGCACAAGAGTTAATAATAGGTGAATACAGTAAAGTGACTACCGGTAATCTTTATGATGCAGGTTTGATAATATGAGGTTATTACGAGAATACCTCAAAGTCTGCACGAAGACAGTACAGCTGGAGTATCAACCGACGCGCAGCCAAACTCTGGTGGCAGCCATGTTTGTTTTTATTATTAAAGGATGCTTACGCGCGTAATCATTCCATATTTGGAATTCGCATTTCCTAATATGGTAGGATGAAAATACCCTGTAAAATACCGCAAAATTACGGCACGCTGTAACTTATGGCGTTACGGTGGGAGATGTATAATAATACAAAATATTATTTGCAATCATGATCGAGACATCTCATGTAAAAAAATATGCAGGATAAAGTTTGATAGCTTGCATTATTAATATTACACTATAGCTCAGAAAAAAATTTTTGACATAAAATAAAAAGTCTACTTACTCTTCAAATTGACTGTCTAGTAAATGTCGTAACGTTGGCAGGAGATCGTAACATGCACCCATGGATAGTGTATGACCACTAATAGATTTCTCTTTGATACTACAAAATAAACAACAGGAATGTATGTAATAAAGGTAGGCATGTAACTTTCATAACCATGCATGGTGGCATTTGTGTTTTTGCTTATTTATATATTTAGATGATTCTAGTTTTGCAGCCATATTGAGCTATTTTGCATGCATATTGAGGTTTTACATTCATATCAGTGGAACACATATGTGCATATACAAATATGCAAATGACTACAGAATTCCACATTCAGGATCTTCCCATTTGAATAAAATTTACATTGCCAACACTAATAGGTTCAGAAAAATTTGCTGTCAATCCAGGCCACAATAACCTTAAACATGGCAGAATTCAGGTGAATTCTTCATTTTTCCCGACAATGCATTCAGACCATCAAATATTTGACAGGTGATAGTCCAAAAACCAGTACATGTATTAGAAAGGTACTGGTTGTGTTAGCAATGGCAGTAAATCTACTGTGATGAAATCTTCATTGAGTCTTACCTTTGTGTTAGCAATGGCAGTAAATCTACTGTG